GTCCTTTGTCCACGGGCAGAGGGCGCTTGGCGCATGCGCGCTGGGGGTCTAGCCGGGCGTCACGGGCCGCCGTGCGCGGGAGGCCCCGAGGGGAGCGCGAGCTGGGTTCCGGTACTGCCGCGCCGTACCCTCGTGTCCCTCTGCTGCTTCCCAGCGCTGGTCCTGGGGAGATGCGGGGTGTCCTTCAGCACCAGCGTGCCCCTTTCCTCGGACCGCTGTAGAGCCACTGCCCTTGCGGCGACCGCCAGCAGTCTGCTCCTTGCCACCGCCCCGAACTCCCCCGCAGAGACCCGTGCCACCCGCTGGCGCTCCGGCATATGGGTACCCGTGCCGCCGCCCGCGCCTCAACCGTTCCTTTGAGCGCTACTGGGGTTTCCCTCCGCGATGGCTCTGGACTTCCCCTTGTTCCCTGTCCCTGACGTACGCCCGTCCCTCCCCGATTTCCTCTCACGTTCTCCCAGCATATACGCACGTTCCCTTTTCCCGTATCTCGTCTCTTGGTTCCTCTGTATGCGCTTCACCTGACTCCATCCCTCCACCTCACCGGAATGTGCGACTTCCCATGAGGTCAGAACAGCGTAGTCGGTCCTGACCCTTTTATGGGTTCTAGTAGGCCTGCATGTTGGGGAAAAAATACTGTAGGATGTGCCTGAGTTCCTGTAGTGGTCAGTCTCAGGTTTATACGGTTAAAGCGCTTATCTGCTTTAGTAGGCAGCTAAATTGGAAGGGTAAAAGTGAGGGAAAACTTGTTGATTGACATAAAGACAGTTTAATAATTAAAAAAAAAAATGGAAGGGCAAAAAGCCAACAGCGAAGAGGAAAAAGGAAAAAAAAACTCCCAAGAAGAGCAAGTGATGTAAAAGAAAACAGTTGTTCACTGTCAACCAACTGATGCTGAGCCAGTCCCCAAGTAATGGCAGCTCCACCAGCTTCCACCTCCACCAGTTTTATTGCTGAGCGTGACATCCTATGGTATGGAATGTCCCTTTGGCCAGTTGGGGTCAGCTATCCTGGCTGTGTGTCCCTCCCCAGCTCCTTGTGCGCACCCAGCCTGCTCACTGGTGGGGCTTGACACTGTATAAGCTCTGCTTAGCAATAACTAACTCAATCCTGTGTTACCAACACTGTTCTCAGCATAAATCCAAAACATAACCCCATACAAGCTACTGTGAAGAAGTTGAACTCCATCCCATCCAAAACCAGTACAAATGCACACCAACAAACAATGCAATAGATGTCATGCTGCTGTCTCCGATAGGCCATTGAGGATGAAGGAGGAGATCCTGATGAAATTCCTGTGTCCTCAGAACTGACCAACAAGAGAATGCCAAAAAGAACTAGCAAAGGTACAGAGTCTAGACAAATACATTTCCTTTGTTTCCATGTAGTTAGAACTTGCCGAAAGATGTTGATTTCTTCTGTTTCATTAATGAGTTTATTTTTATTTTTTAAGAAGCACTTTTTCTTTCTTCCTTATGGAAAACAGTAAAACTCTGTTGCATGAATGTGTGATAACAAGTTTAAATGATAATATGACACCTAACCATACCTCTGTTAGCAAGTCTTGAAACCTGTAGATGAGACCGTAAGTTGCAGATGTTTCTGTACTTGTGACCCTGAGTGTAGAAGTGTGTCAGGTACAGAGCAAGCAGCTGCAGCATAAGCTCCTGTGGAGAACTCTGCACCCTGGGTACTAATTGTCTTGTCATAACTATATACATTTTCTTTGTTTTGTGGAAGCCCTTGAACCTCCATCATCTTTAGGATACATTTTTAGATGCAAGAAATTACAGTGGGAATAATTAGAAGCGTTGTTGCACAAATGCGTATAACTTCTGTTTGTGTCTTATTACGTTTTATAACTGCGTGTTGTTTTGAAAATAAACTGTTCTGAAATAGCTCATTAGTGATTTAAGTATATTTCGCTTCAAAACCATAAAATATTGTGTGGGTCATGTTATGTGTAGTTTATTTGAATTGCTCGTAGCCAGTTCTTAAAAAGATACTTCCTGAAACATAATTTTAAGCTGCTTACTTTAAGGTAAGAGCGTAAAAAAAGAGAAAGAGCAGTTGTTTTGAATGATGATACAAGTTTGCTGGTGACAGGTGTGCATAAAGACGATCTGTGTGTCCAAGATCTTACAAATGAAGACTAATTCTAAATCTAAACTATTTAAATGGTAAGAGGGAGATTTTTTCTAACAATCATAGGGTGTTTCTTTTAAATGGAACACCTTCCTCAACAGTGTTGTCTTTTTAGGTATTGAAGTGTTGTGGAATGAGAGGACCATAGCTGTTGAAAATTGTAGCTGTGCTACTTCTAGTTCAAGCTCATGCCATTTGTTTGTATCAAGTTGCAAGTCGTCCTCCATTATATCTAGACAGACCTGGACTTCTGAATCAGTGTCTTAATGATTATTTGTTGAAACAAACTCAGTTTTGAATAGATAATTCAGTGAAGAGTAGACGTGTTATGAAATCTAGTACTGTATCTCACTTCATTGATAACTATCTTTAGGAAGAAAACCAGAAGAAGAAGGTGTTGAAGACAACGGACTAGAAGAAAACTCTAGAGATGGTCAGGTAAGTGAAATCATGATTGGTGTTACTAAGAATATGCATCATTTAACCCACAATAAATAACACATCTACTATTTTTCTTTTTGTAGGAGGATATCGAAGCAAGTCTGGATACCTTGCAAGATATTGACATGATGGATATTAGTGTGTTAGATGAAGCCGAAATAGATAATGGCAGTGCTGTAGACTGTGGAGAAGACTATAGTCCTGATAATATTCTCGATTCTTTGTCTGATAATAAAGACAATGTCGAAGCAGAAATGAAAGAACTTCCAGATCAGCTAACAGAAAATGAGGTGAGTGAGTAGAGGTCTTTGTAAATTTTCGGAAGGTATTTAATAAGTATATGGGCACAGTAATACATGGGCACATTATTTCAGTGTGATAGAATATAGGACATGGATGAGATATGGGTTCTATTTCACGTTAACAGCTTTCATGTGCTACTCTTTGTGATAAATGTTCTTGGACCTATCAGCAGCTTGAATTGCTCACAGTAGACAGGTCACAACCTCCTTTACCTTGCAGTAACGTATTTGCTTGCTGTGAAAGAAGCCTGGAATTCAAAGTAATGTATTAGTTTCAGTGTTCCCTCTTTGCATTTATATGTGTTTAAGTGTATATATGCATACACCAAGCCACGTAGAGATTTATATATATGGAGAGAGAGAAATATATTTTCAACTCACAGATAGTCTTTTCTGTGGAAATAATACTCTGGTTTAAAGAACATAGCTTGTCCAGGTTTCACATAGAGATTAATCACGTTCTGACGTTGCCAGGCTTTTGACTTAGTTTTGAGAGCAACTTGCAGTGTCTTTCACAGACAGCACAGTCTGCTGCTACTGAATGAACAGGGTAATCTATATGTTATGTTCACTCCCCAGATCCTTCCTTGGATCTTTTTTTTTTTATTTTAGGCTGTTCACTCCCAAAACTGAAAGTATTATCCTTCTTTGTCGTCTTATGATTTGGGTTTTTTTTTTATTATTTTAGGCCTGTGATGTCTGTCTCAACTTTTTGTCATTTAAGTTCTGAAAACAGAGTCATTACGACAACACGCAGTTAACTTGAAAGGCAGTTTTCTGGCGTTCTGAAATTACAGCTGTTGTGAAGCATCACAATGATGATGAGCTTTGGTTGAGTCTTAGCATCATCTCTTAAGGAAGGAAGATTTTTGGGACGTGTTTTGCCTTCAGAAAAGTAGAAACCTAAGTCAGCTTAATTTCTAACGTATTTTTTCAGTTAGAAACTAAAGAATTAAAAAAGTGGGGAAAATGGAAAAACATGTTATGTACAGTAACCACAGAAATGTGAAATAAATTTCCTCTTTATTTTCAAAGAGTAACTTTGAAATAGACAATGTCATGTTGAAATTAAAATTAAAGGTAACTGGAGAAAGATGTTTAGTCATCAGTAATACTTATATGTTGCTTCTCATTCTTGGGTCACAATCTGAAGTAGCAATCGAGATATCTCAGTGGAAAGTATTTCTCTTATTATTGCTAGAGGATTGAATTACAAAGTAGTATTTCTCTGTAAGCTAATGTTACTTTTTGTAAGAAATGCTATAATTCCTTTTTTTACTCTTCTAGGAAGATTATGATGAAATTGAAAACAATTTAGATGCCTCTTCTTCTGATTTCATTGAAATGAAGGTAAATTGAAAATGTAGCTGTATTTCAGGTTGTTATTATCTATATTCACTCTGTGCTCATACTGCAAAAAAGAAAACTTGACCATAAAATGAAGCTGTAACAATCCAAGACATATGTGATCTTGTTCAGGATACAGTCTGTCAAATGAGAACGCTCTTGTGTTTTTTTCCCTACTTTTCAGTTGGCCAGCAAGACTTCCTCCACTTTTGTGGCAAATAAAAATGGTCTTGTACTGTTGATTTCTTTTTTTTTCTGATGATTATATCAAGTAGTAGCTGGGCTTATTTTTCACTCTGCAGTTGATGTGGTACACAAAGATACCTTATTGGCCTCTCTAACATTCCAGGTTAGATATCGGAATGCAATCAGGGCTGATATTTCAATTTGGCTTTAGTGTACCAGAAAAATTACCTACGTAAAATACTCGGTACAGTGGATGTTAAAAAAAGTGCTGAATGTAGTAGGTGAATTAGTGTAGTTTTCAATCTTAGGATTGGGCGGGAGGCTATTGTTCTGTGTTAGAAACACTTTTTATAAAATCCTCTTTCTGTTTATTTTCTCAAACAGAAAATGGAGAAGCGACACGTGGAGCCAGGTACTGTTAAAGAAAAACATATTCCTGTCTTTTCAGCTAATACTTTTTAAACCATTAACTATTAAAAAAAACAAGGAAACAAACATAATTTGCATTACTTTTGTGATGGACAATCCAGATCATGCAGGGTCATAGAGATTGGAAACCCAATCATATCCCCAGATCTGTGAAGTGATGCTTGTCATCTTTGAAATATTTCCAGTGAAATGAAATGGTTTAAAAACCTGTTAAACTACATAAACGGATTTAGAGAATCACAGTTTAAAAGCGAAAGATTCTACTTGTAAACAGATCTTGTGATATTGCACACACCTTAACTCTGTTACTAAGTAGAGAGCAGTGAAAGCAGTAAAAAGATATTTATTGTAGGGCGTTAAAATGTAAAGATTAGTTACTGGATACAGAAGAAAGAAGAAAGTTTCTTCATGGAAATTTCATACAGATACTTTTCACTTTCTGGACTGCAAACACACTCATGCACCATCAGAAGATGCCCAGTTCTCATGTTGGACTGTCTGCTAAACGAATTTCACAGAAATTTAAAAATTGAACCCTCAGTGCCTTGATACATTCAGTTAAGCATCTCGGACTCTGGAAGCTA